CCTGGCCCGGATATGGCCCATTCTGCCATACTCAGTGAAGCAGCCCCAATCCTGGCAACGCCGCTTAGAGTGATGTTCTCACACTCGCTAAGCCGAGGCAAACTACCGAAAAATGGGAAGTTAGCTCACATCACACCAATTTTCAAAGGAGGTCGACGCAGCGAACCTTTAAATTACCGACCGGTGGCTCTTCTCTCTATACCTTCAAAAATTATGGAGTCCCTGATATGCGATGGTATAAATGACTATTTATTGTCCTTAAATTTCTTCTCACCCCAACAGCATGGTTCCAGGAAGGGCTACTCTTGTATAACCAACCTTCTGACTGCGGTGGACAGATGGACAAGCATTCTTGATCACAAGGGGAAGGCTGATATCATCTACCTAGATTTCTCAAAAGCTTTTGATAAGGTTAACCATACATGTTTTATCAGTAAGCTCAAACGATTGAGTATCAGACCACCTCTAATCGATTGGCTTACTTCATACCTGAAAAATCGACATTTTAAGGTCAGGGTTAATTTCACTTTATCTCAGGCTATGGAATGTCCTAGTGGGGTTCCCCAGGGCTCAGTACTAAAACCTCTTCCCTTCTTGATCTGCATAAATGATCTTCCTCAACAGGTAACGTCAGACTTATGACTTTTTTGCCGATGACGTGAAACTTTGGAGAGAGATACGCAACCAAGACGATATACGGGCACTTCAGGAGGATCTGACTCGACTTCAAAGTTGGGGAGACGATATCGGACTCACTTTTAACACTTCAAAGTGTAAAGTAGTCCATCTGCGACATATTGCAGACTACAGTTACAACTTAGGAAACTCCTCTCTAGTAGTATCCCAAGTCGAAAAAGATTTAGGAGTCCTGGTGCCCTACGATTTAAAGTCTTACGCTAACTGTGACAAAAATGCCTTTCGAGCGAACCTTGCACTGGTAACATTGAAGCACATTTTTGACCAGTTTGACGGAACAACTTTCCACATAATCTTCAACAGTTTTATTCGTCCTCATTTAGAGTACGGAAACATAGTATTCCCTCACTTCAAAAGGTTAAGAACACTCTGGAGCGTATCCAGCGGCGAGCCACGAAATCTGTTCGGAGACTCAAATTCAAACCTTATGAAAAGCGCCGCCAATCCCTTAACCTTTACCCATTAGAGTATAGGCATCTTGGGGGTGACCTAATGGCTTACAGTATCCTTGACACTTCTAGACATCCCCTTAAACACCTACTTAGGCTTAGTCCCAATACAAAAGTAAGGGGTAACACCCAGAAATTGGAGACACAACATAGCAGAACGGACTGTAGACACAACTTCTACTCTTTAAGAGTTGTCAAATGCTGGAATTCGCTGCCGGCCGAGCTAGTCCAGGAGTCATTTAAGAGGCAACTTGATCTATTCTTAAGGATAAAGTATAGTATCATACTATGACTTACCAAGTTCTTTTTCCTCTTTTATTGTTAACATACCTAGGTTCCCGCCTGGAGGATTTGGTGATCCCCTGCTATTAGACACGGAAGCCCGTTAAACGAAAGCTTCTTCTGTTCCATCCACAACCATTTGAACTATTTGAACCGTTTGAATTCTGGTTTGAATGTGTTGTTATTCATCGATCATAAAAGCGTTACCAGTAAAGGCGTTGCCGAAATATAAATATTTGAATATGTGGTGAACCAAAAGTATATCAATTCTAACTATCTCCACAAATATCACTCCCCACTGCAACAACGAAAATTAATTGATATCTGACGCGCAAACCTCGTGTAATTCAATGGAAAACCTGACAGTCTAGGACAGGTGCTTATACAGTGTCACATGAAATAAGAAAATATATTATTTTACCAGTCTTATAAACACTATTAAATCTTCTGACCTTCTGTATTTTAAAAGAAGCAGTTACCTTTTTGATATTCTCCCCTATATTTCCGTTGTTTTAGGAAACGTGACAACTCTATTTCTAAGCAGATAGTTTTCTAATTCATCTATCAGAGTTTGGAGTTTGAATTTCGAGTTTAGTGGGAAGGTCAAGTATTGCGCTAGATCTTTCGGGTTGTTGTCCGGACGCTAGCAGATGGCGCTGAACGCAGAAAGCAGCTTATCACATAATACAGGTGTTAAAACTTTATATGAATCAGACCTGGAAGATGAAAACTACTCATCTGTGGAGAGTTATGGCATTAGAGAACGCAGGCGTAAGCTGCACACTGAAGCGGAGCAGCGTCGTCGAAATGCTATAAAGGTTGGTTGTACTGCTATGGTTTCCATGCCTAATTTAGAGGGGTTTTGAAGGGTTATTAGAGCTCGTCCATCCAATGAAAAACGAATCACCCTCTCCGTCCGTTAGGATGAGTAAATCGAGCATATTACATAAAGGTAGTGAAAAGTAGTATATTCGTTCAACCATTACAGCTATCTATATGATTGAAAGGCTTGGAAGGCAAAAGCACCAGAAATTGTCAGAAGTCGAAAGTCTAGAAAAGGAGGTTAAAGCTCTTCGAATACTATGCTTGTAAGTCTTCAACGAAGTTGTTTCTTAAATTCAGGAATTATGAGAAAATAGTTCAAAACAGTCCGAATTACGAATGTAGATCAGTCGAGCCGATTCCAGATGATACAAAACTAGAAGTGTTTCGAGTGTTTTTTGACGCCATGTTCCGTTCATTTGACAATTATATTGTATTCAATTCTTTTACTGACCTCTCAGCATCAGTGATAAAATGGGTTGAAGAGAGCTGTAAACCTGAAGTTAGTTACTAGTTCCCTTATTTTTTTTCTCCTGATGTTTCATCGTATTACGCCTTCAAAGCAAATTTATGCATTTTAGCACGGTTTCGATGCTTATGAATTATTATTTTATTATATTGCTGACAAGAGGCACTTGCTATAAAAGCCATAATCTGGATTATAGGCAATAGAGAGAAAAAGCAATTACGGCATAGCCACAGTTTACCGCAGCTTGTGAGACTATAATTTATGGACGAACCAGTCAGATTTACGACGACAGGTCTTGAATTTTGGCGCAAAATTAATTCATTCATTTGGCTAAATATTTTTAGCATTATAGTTAATGTAAGTTTGTAATGAAAACCATAGATCTATTTCCTAACCCTAACTATCAATTTAGAATGTTAATTTTAGTTCCTCACACTGGTTCATAACCCTCATTTAGCCGTAGTATGTAGGTGGACATTATCAATGTCCTTTTAGCGTCGCTCAGAGGTTGTCCATAAATTATAGTCCCACCGTGAAATCAGTGAATGTATGTGTTTTTGCTTATAGTGTCGGTTGAAATCAAGCGATGCAGATGTAGAAGTTGTAGTCATCATGTAAGTAGCTTTAAGGAAATGTCTTTTATGTGTGGTTTGTTCAGATTGCGATGAAAAAGAATATGTTACTCCATACATATATCGGCTTTATCTATCTAAATTGGTCCTAATTCTTTTCGGTCGCTAGATAGGGGCGTAATGATAATTTTATGATCTTCGTTTGTAACAAATGATTAGCATGTTGGACACTAATTGGTCACTCTGGTTTATCAACTCCCTTATTTCTAGAGAAACCTAGATCAGCACAAGATTCAACCGTTACATTGATTTACCTAACAGTGAGTAAGGAATAAAGTATTAAATAATTCGGCTATAATGCAACGATTTAAGAGACAATATATCGTGCTTTTCATCCTAGTTTTAAATTACATTGGTCGTGATTTAATTGTCTGCGTGTATTGAGTATCGTGAATTGACTGACGTTTCACAACCTACACAACCCTTCCAAAAAAGACTAGATTATGTTAGCTTGTTTAACCAGTCTCGTATTTTAAGGCCTGCTTAGAAGATAGCCATGTTTCCACGTATAAAGTTCACCGGTTCTACCATACAGATTAATCAAAAAGTAGTTAGGTAAGAAACGACATTTCACACTGCTGGCCTTGCTAAAGTGTAGCTGGTATGAGATGTTTCCCACAAAACATTACTATTTCCAGAGATACTACCTACCTATGGTTCAGGTCTCTTCCTTGCATGGATTTTCACTGAACATATCAATATAAATCTGCTTTCATTTCTAGGTTCTTGATATAGGAGAAGCTCTTCACAACGCTTTTTATTTATTTGAAATCAAATATTGGACACCAATATATGTATGCGTCACAATAAAAATAAGATTGTAAAGAGATAGTTAAAGAAAAGTGAGTATGATAAAAAAGGAAAAAAGTAGTGGAAGAAGCAGTTCAGCTAAGAAAAATACAACTAGAAAGGGTCCTTCCAGTGAAAGTTTCTCTCATATGAGGAAAGTAAGGGGAAATCACATCAGGACCGCCAGTGGCATCCATTCTGAACCGCGTCTGACAACTCAGGCCACTGTGGTGCCTCATCTCTAGGAATGCAACTAAGGAGTTTATTATTTATTTATTTGAACAAAAACATTGGTACAAAGGGGCACCAAATACATATGCACCACACAATAACAGTGAAACCATGGAGAGATAATGTAAAGTGCGTATAATAAAACAACAACAACAAACAGAAATCGGTGTATGAGAGTGGAATAATAATAATAATCAGAGAAACAGTTCACTTAGCAAAATGTAACCAAAAAGAACTCTAAATCAAAGAAGTTACGTCTATTTTTATGATGAAAGTAAGAAAGAGTTACAGCGGAATCGCAGCTAGCTTTATTCTGAGTAATGTCTGATAACGTCTCCAGCCACTGTTGCACCATCTGTAAGACCTCAACCAGCGAGTCGTGAAGAACCAACGATATGGAATTCTCTGGTACGACATCCGTAATACATATCCAAGCCACCGAATTCAATGTTTCGAAACTTACTTACTTACTTACGCCTGTTACTCCTCGTGAAGGAGCATAGGCCGCTCACCAGCATTCTCCATCCAACCCTGTCCTGGGCAACCTTTTCTAGCCCCGTCCAGTTGTAATTCATCGTCTTCATATCTCCTTCTATTATCCGACGCAATGTGTTCTTTGGCCTTCCTCTTTTTCGCTTCCCTTCAGGATTCCAAGTTAGGGCTTGCCTCGTGATGCAGTTTGATTATTTGCGTAATGTATGTCCTATCCATTTCCATCGTCTTTTCCTAATTTCTTCTTCAGCTGGAAGTTGGTTTGTTCTCTCCCACAGAAGGCTATTGCTGATGGTATCCGGCCAACGAATGTTGAGTATCTTGCGTAGACAGCTATTTATAAATACTTGTACTTTCTTGATTGTGGTTGTTGTAGTTCTCCAAGTTTCAGCTCCATACAGTAGAACTGCCTTGACGTTGGTATTGAAGATTCTCACTTTGATATTGGTTGAAAGTTGTTTTGAGTTCTATATGTTCTTCAATTGTAGGAATGCGACCCTTGCTTTGCCGATCCTCGCCTTTACGTCTGCATCTGAACCTCCTTGTTCATCGATGATGCTTCCTAGGTATGTGAAGGACTCTACATCTTCCAGAGTTTCGCCATCAAGAGTGATTGGATTGCTGTTTTCCGCTTTGAATTTGAGGACCTTGGTTTTCCCTTTGTGTATGCTGAGGCCTACTGATTCAGAGACTGCTGCTACACTGGCTGTCTTCATCTGCATCTGTTCGTGTGTACGTGATAGGAGGGCTAGGTCATCTGCGAAGTCCAAATCGTCTAATTGATTCTGAGCTGTCCATTGTATTCCGTGTTTTCCTTCAGATGTCGAGGTCTTCATAATCCAGTCGACCACCAGAAGAAAGAGGAAAGGAGAGAGTAAACAGCCTTGTCTGACTCCGGTCCTTACTTGGAATGCATCTGTCAGCTGTCCTCCATGCACTACTTTGCACTGTAGTCCGTCGTATGAGTTCCGGATAATATTGACAATCTTCTCAGGAACTCCGTAGTATCGAAGAAGTTTCCATAATGTCCTCCTATCTACACTGTCGAATGCCTTTTCATAATCAATGAAGTTGATGTATAGTGATGAGTTCCACTCAACTGATTGTTCGACGATGATCCGTAGTGTTGCAATTTGGTCTGTGCACGACCGATCCTTACGGAATCCAGCTTGTTGATCTCGAAGTTGGGCGTCTACTGCATCCTTCATCCGGTTCAGCAACACTCTGTTGAAGACTTTCCCTGGTATTGACAGTAGTGTAATGCCTCTGTAGTTTTCACATTTGCTCAGATCTCCTTTCTTTGGAATCTTGATGAGGTGTCCTTCTTTCCAGTCCATCGGCACTTGTTCCTCCTCCCAAATCTTTTTGAATAGAAGATAAAGCATGCTTGTGGTTGCTTCGATGTCTGATTTCAGTGCTTCAGCTGGTATGTTGTCGGGTCCTGCTGCTTTCCCGTTCTTGATTTGTCTGACGGCCATTCTAATTTCTTCCGTCGTTGGTGGGTTGACATCTATAGGAAGATCTATGTGTGCTGCTTCGATGTCCGGTGGATTCATTGGAGCCGGCCTATTCAGGAGTTCCTCGAAGTATTTTACCCATCTGTTCCGCTGTTGTTGAATTTCGGTGATTGGCTTGCCTTCTTTGTCTTTGACCGGCCTCTCTGGTTTACTGTATTTCCCTGCTAGTTTCTTCGTTATATCGTGAAGCTGTTTCATATTTCCTTCTCTAGCAGCTTTTTCTGCCGTCGTTGCTAGTTCTTCCACGTATTTCTTCTTGTCGGCTCTAATGCTCCTCTTCACTTGTTTGTTTGCTTCTATGTATTCAGCTTGTGCTTGGACTTTCTCTGCTCGTGTTCGGCTGTTGTTTAATTGCTGCCTTCTTGTTCTTCCTTTCTTTGATCTTGTCCAGTGTTTCTGTAGAGATCCATTCCTTATGATGGTATTTCTTTAGACCGAGAACCTCTTGACACGTTGAAGTTAATGCTTCCTTGATGCCTTTCCAGTTGTCCTCCATAGTAGTTTCTTCTTCTTTCAGTAGATCTTGTAAGGCTTGGAACCTGTTGTTGAGAGCTATCTTGAATTCATTGAGTTTGACAGTATCTCGAAGGAAGGCTGTATTGAACCTTTGTATTGCTGTTTGTCCACTTGTCCAGTTCTTTTTTAGCTTCAGTTTCAAATTGGCTACAACTAGGTGGTGATCTGAAGCTACGTCAGCACCTCTCCTGGTTCTCACATCTTCCATTGTCCTTCGGAATTTTTTGTTGATGCAAATATGATCTATTTGGTTCTCTGTAGTGTGGTCCGGTGAGATCCATGTAGCCTTGTGTATACGCTTGTGTGGAAATATTGTGCCTCCTATGACCAATTTGTTGAATGCACACAGATTTGCAAATCTTTCTCCATTTTCGTTTCTTTCTCCCAGTCCATGTCGTCCCATAATATCTTCATATCCAGTGTTGTCTATTCCGACTTTGGCATTTAGATCTCCCATCAGAATAGTTAGGTCCTTCCTTGGGCATTTCTCAATGATTGACTGTAGCCGCTCGTAGAACTGATCTTTAATGTCGTCGTTGCTATCATTGGTGGGTGCATAACATTGGATAATATTCATTAAGACCCCCTCCTTCTTTGTTTTGAATGATGCTTTGATGATTCTGGATCCGTGAGATTCCCATCCTACAAGTGCCTTTCGTGCTACTTTGAACAGCTTTAGAGCAACTCCCTGAGTGTGTGGAGCATTTTCCTCTTCATGACCGGAGTATAGTAGCATCTCTCCCGTATCTAGCCTGAGTCCAATGGGTTTCGCTGATTCCCAGTACTGCCAAGTTGTATCTCCTCATTTCCGTTACTATTTGACTGGTCTTCCCAGTCTCCCACATTGTTCGGACGTTCCATGTACCTATGAAAATTGTTGCTCTGGTTGTTAGAAGGGGCATCGGCCTCGTGTCTTCAGAAGGAACTCAGCTTTCACCATGAAGCGTCATAATTCTTCTAAATGAAGACCTTCTAACTCCCAGGACAGAATTAAAATGGTTTGAATTATTTTTTCTGGTAAGCGTTTTTTTAGCGAGTTAGTTTTCTACGGGATGGGGACGCTAACCCCATGCCCAACCCTCCTCCTTTACCCGGGCTTGAGACCGGCAGTAACCCTATAAGAGCTGCAGGCTGAGTTAATGTTTCGAAATAGTGACACTAATTGGATTATCGTCGCTGTGCCTGAACATACGTTGCAGAACCTCGTCATTGTATTTACTATGAGATGATCGTATTGGTTGATAATAACAAAACGACTAAAGCTTTTGTTCAGAATATAGCGCTCGTAAATCTATTTATTTAAACGCATAAACATTGATACAAGGAGGCACCAAATAGATATGCTCCATATAAACCATTCGATTCTCTTCCGCGCAACGGGGTGTTGTTTACAAAATTGAGAGGACGAAAAGCGAATGTCCGGTGCTTTAACCGGGTTAGTGGACACGGAGAGTCCACCTAGGGGGAGTTGGAGAACCCTGACTCCAAACCAATGATACACATGAGAACCATTATCCTGAAAGAACAGTCGGTGTGTGAACCAATCGTTGGTCGTCGGCTACCATGGGACTGCATCTCCTAACGTTGCCCCACTGCCTTGGGGATCAGACCTTTAGGCGTGTGGCCCCCTTAAGAAAACCACCTGCTTCGGTGTGGGCACCCGGGCAATATCCTAACCCTTACACAAATCGAATGATTTATGTAGCGCTCGTAAATTAATACGTTTTGTGGACTTGAGCTACGTCTACTGTTATCCATTATTTGTTGAAAGGCTGCTCGGAAATACACCTCACACCTAAAGGCTATCTATTGTACTGAATTAAGCCCTGATAACTGATCGTAAAATAGATGAGTCAGTTATACTTCGTACTATATTAAGAAATATTAACCTAATGTTTAGGTTTTCCAGTCCTGTGTGTGGTAGTGATTTATTACAAAATGTAAGTCCTTAGTCACTTACATCGAGAAAAACAACATATGTACTTTGAAGCACTCCCTGTAGTGTGTGAAATAGGATACATCTTCAGTGTACCAATAGCAAAGTGCGTCGTTCGATAAATGCCGTACCTCTCTGTAACCCCATCAGTTTACCTTTAAAGTAAACCAAAAAATTCCTTTAATCGAAAAACCGAATCTTAGTGTAAAAGCTGACGTTCGATTCTCAACTGTATTATCCTTGACGATTTGTGCACACCTTAAAGTACCAATCAATAGCCATTAAAAATTCTTATTCTGTTTCTATAAACTGTCTGAGTATAACCACTCGTACCATATTCATAACTTGTAGTTGTTTAATAGAAGTGGTTTTATAAAACCATTTGTGACGCAATCACTGTACTTCTTTTGTTTCATAATGGCAGTGAGATTTCCGAATTAAAGGATTCTTATTTTTTTCAATGAGCTTTTTTAAAGTGAATTTACTCCATGGGAGGTGAGCTGTATCATTCAAATGCAAGATAAGCCTCATTGAAATTGACCAATATATGATACTTGAAACCAGTTAAGTAGTAATGTTCAAATCAACCTCAATCCTAGATAAAATCCTCAAAAGGATATTTTCATCTTTCAATAATTTCCACTCACAGACAAATATAAAACATTTGAAGTAGTCAGAGGCTGGTTTTTTAGAAATGAAGCTTATATTCACGATTTACCACATATAAATTTGTCGTAAAGTCATTCTACTGTTGTTTTGTAAGTTCAGACAAAACATGAAATGAAGTCGATGACTGTTGGTCTAAGTGATGTAGGCAGATGCGGACTATCTGGGTGGGGTATACACGATAACACCAACCAGGGGCTGGATACTGTGTGTGGAATAGCTTAGAATCATTCGCGACTGTGCAGATGCACTCTTTATTATGCTCTCGATCTTGAATACCGATGTTCCTCTATGTAAAACTCTTCACTGTCTTTTCGAATCCTACCCTTAATTTTTATTTTTCATTGTGATTGGTACTATGTTATTTAGATCCCTTCTGCTACACATCTTGTTGATTTTATTTGATTATGCTAATGAAATATGACAACTTTGACCTCCGCACATCCGTGCCAGACTCTGATAATGAAGCTGACTGACTGGCTATAAGTTTGTAATGAGCTAGGAATGACAGTATGTAGTGTGAAAAACTGAATGTTATGTCCAAAACATTAGATTTTTCTGGGGATGTATTGTTTACTCATATTCTCAAATTATTATAACTGTATGAAGACGCTTAACTTTCAACGTAACAGGTCAGTTTTTTAGCCTTGATCCCAATATATAGAGTACTTCGTAATCTAATTCGCCATAGAACTTAGATCATACCTTAAGTAATCCAAAACCATCGATCATACTTGAGATCATCGATTGAATTGTTAACTAACTGAGCTTGGATTACTCATAGTTGACAGTATTAATGGATGATATTTATTTTTTAGTAAGCTTGCTCTGTTTTTTTGTAAAAGCAATATAAGGTCATCTGTTTTAATTGATTAATAAATCTCATTCGCTATTATTTTGGTTTTACTGCGAACCATGTGATTATAATATGTGCCTGAATAATCGAGTTGTCCAGCATACAGTGTTAACAACTCGCTTTTCGATTGATGCAAGGTTAAATTGGGATCAAAAGATTGTACAGTTCAGTCATTTTATCAAATTCGTGCACACGTAAGACTGGGCTTATTTTTTTTAGCATATATTCAGTTTTCAGAGTTCACTGACAAAATAAAACACCATCTTTACAAACATTAACAGTCAATTCAACATATACATGATAAAAATAGATACAAAAACTAATTTACAAGTATTTGATCTTGGATATCATCAAAACCTTATCTGGTTATAGTGTTACTGTCAAGGGAACTGTACTTTTGTTCCTCTTAGTGTTAGGTAGTTATGGGAAATTAATGGGTATGTTTTTGTAAACTTGTACTGACTTAATCTATTAGGGCTTGTTCTGTAAATACCCATCCAACTCCTTTGGTATTAAGTGGGTTATAGATGAATAAGTTCATGAAGTCATTGATTTAAGTTGTACATGAATGTAAAAGTTTCATTATCGGACATCAGTCTTGATGACACAGGTTCGTTCATTTGTCAACCCGCTGTTGATCTTGGGAATTTCTATCATCTCATTACTTTTTGTTCCCTCACACCTTCACTCCCTTTGTTGTATTCTCATATTTTTATGTTCTAACTTCTGCTACTGTAATAATCTTCAGTGATTTTTCCTCTTGTTGTTAACTTCAGTCTACTGATCTCAGGCGTTTCAACTTTGACCAGTGCACATCTTTGCTGGATATTAGATAATTTTTTTATTTGTACACTACCATTTTAATTGGTTCATTTGTTAATACTCAGCTTTCATCCACCAAATCGCAGGTTTAAATCTCGCTCCACCTGGTTCGGTTTTGGTTCCGTGTTGGTACCACTAATCCTCACAATAAGTGTGTCTCAAAGTCAGGGACACGAGTCTGTACCTGATAAACGAGCTACCAAGTGGCAAAATTCTTGAGTTGTAGCTTAGTTGATAAGGGGTTCAACTTCGGGTCACTAAGTCCTTAGTTCGAACTCCGCTCCAGCTAATTCGTTTTGTGCAACCAGGCTATGTCATTACCGCCCGTGCTTATAATGGAGCTTGTTGAATAATCTTTATTATACATTTGAACTACTGTCATATTACGAGAGAAAACACAAGGTAGTCCATTCTGCTGCTCATTGTTGATTGTTTAGATAACGAAGGTAGATTTAATTAGTATGGTTTTTGTATTTTGTGTTGTTAGTTGGAGTTCGAAGTAGGGGATTGGAGATATTAAACACCATCGAATAG